CTTCCCTTCCCGTTCGCCCCTGCCCGCCGCTCCGCCGTCTCTCGCTCTCCCGCCCTCGCCGCGTCTCGCACCCTTTCTCCCTTTCCCTTTCCCTCTTCGATTACAAGCGGCAAGAAGCGGCAGGAAGCAGCATTACACGAGACACGTCGCGCCGACAAATCGACGGATTATGCCGGACGAGCGCCGACCCACCGGGAATAAATGAATTGGCTAACGACGCGAATCCTCTCATTTCTCGCCCCTCCCGCCCCTTCGTCGCTCCTTTTCCACGGCTTTTCGTATCCTCGCGGACCGACGGGCCTCGGTTTTGTGGAAACGGTTTCCCATGCTCCGGGATCGAGCGGATCGCCGCGGGTTTCTCGTTTCGTCCAGGAACGGCCACTGTCGCGGCCGCGGGCGAGCCGCGGATCGCAGGACGGTTCGCGCGCGAGCAGCCGAAACGGTCGACGCGCGATGCGATAACGGAAATATTCGCGCGCCTCGGCGAAGCTTATCAACCGCGGACACCGATAATCGCGCGCGAGGGAGAGGCGGAGGGCCAGCTCCGTGGCCGCGAAACTAGAACCGCCATCGATCGGTCGCGTCTTTCGTAAAGCGGCTAAGCGAGCCACCCGTTACCCACGGACTCTCGTAACCCATTAAATACTCTTACGCAATCCGTGGCATCCGATAAATGGGATATGTATTAGCTTGCAGCGTTTCCGCAGCCCTACAAGTACCGGAGCGTACGCGGCCGGCGGGAGAAAATAGCGGCGAGACACGCGCTCGCGCAATCGATCACCGTTTCCGAGCGGAGAATCGAAATCGAGAACTGTGTCGGCCAATCGGTCCATCCCTTGGATTCCCTTTCCGCCATTTCCCCTTTTGTATCTTTATTATTCCGGGTATCTATGTTTAGATCACCTATTACTCGCCTCCGACATGAAAAAGAGTCTTTCGCTAAGTGTTTTTTTTATAGCTTCGATCTGTTACCTGTGACCGTATCGACGAATAGTATATCATGGTCGTAAAAGAAACGGGAACAGACGAAACCCGACCAATTAGACCCGCATTCCTTCCACTAGCATTCTTGTCCGAGTCGCATGACGGACACCAACATTTCTTAAGGAAAACGTGGCCACGAAGTCTCTCCGAGGAGGATTCACCTCCGGCCGATCGAATAACTTCACCCGCGAGCGCGAACGACACGCGTGCAAAGATGACCACTCGGCGGACGGTAGAGCTGCTCGAAATCTGCGGAAAGCCCGCAAGTTCCGTCGCGGGTTGGCTGGCCTCGTGCCCACGGCCGCTCGGTAGAGCTGCACGAGCCTGTCCTCGGTTCGCCGCAACGGCTTTCCAGGCTTAGAGAACGAACGCGCGGCGCGAAATTCTGTTGCTCGCGGGAGCGCGTCGTCCACGAGAGGGACGCTGAATCACGTTCTCGAGCCGGCTAGGATATCTTTCCGCGGCTTTAGGCATCCCTCGTCGAAGCTTTCAGGAAGCGAGCTACTAATTAGCGATTACCACTCGTTCACGCGGCACTCGAGAAAGAATATAATTAGCACTCACCTTTGTGCCGATGCGCCGTGAAACCCTCGACCGGCCGAACCTGGCCTCTCGTAAAAAAATCCTGTGGAGCGTTCGCTTCGAAGAGTCATTCTCGACCTTCCCGTCGTCGTTCGAACACGGATGGAAAGAGGCACCGGGTGCGTGGCGCGGTGGTCCTGTTTTCCCGTGAGCGTGACGAGCCGCGCGACGACCTCTTCGTGTCCTCCCGTTCTTTCCACGTTCCCGCTCCATCGACGACGAGCACTTCAGCCTGGAAACGAGAACGAGATTAACGAACTCTTTGTCGAGCGGCCCCCGCCGGGGGCCCGCGTGCATCCCGCGCAACTTTTTTAGTCTCCTTTTTGTTTTTTCGCCCGATGCGACTCGATTGGAACCGTTTAAATTTTATTCAAAGATTCTTCTCCTTTCCGACTGGAGGAGGCGCCGCCGCCGCGCCGCCGGCTCGATAACCCGGTCGTGCTCGTTCGGTCGTTTCAAACGCGCGATTATCGCTCTCGTTTTCGGCGCAGTTCGCGCGAAACGGGGAACCGACCGTGGGAGCTTTTCGTTTCTACGTTCTCCACGTGTCGACGTTTCAGGTAGCACCGAAAAATGAACGATTACGGGTACGACAGAAGAGGCGGGAGGGAGTACGACAGACGGTCAGGAGGCAGAGACGACGACGGGGATCGCGAGGACAGGAAAACCACCCTGCAACGCCTGGACAGCATCCAGGACCCCGGGAAACGCTATCTCCTCAGAGAGTGCATCGGTTTCGGCGTGTGCGGAGACGTTTTCGAGGCTATCGATCAACAGGCCGGTATGTCCCTGGTTTACAACGACTCTTTGTACGGTATCCCGATGCTCGCGGACTTTCTTTTCTCCGAACACGCCGTTTAAGCTAGTTTATTGCTACACGATTCTTACTTGGATCGTTGTTGTTCATCTTTGACCAAGTATACAAGCTGCAACCGCTAACGTGACGATTTTTTACTCACTTGTGGCCATCTGACAGGATCAAGTTTGAAAGCGGGGTATGGAGTTTAAAATAGATATCAGTGAAAAGGATTTCGAAAACAGTTTCGAAATTTTCTCTTCGATGTCGAATAATGATTGCACTTTCTTACGATCAAACACGACAAGCTAAATATTTCACATTTTCACTGCTGCAAATCGAGGAATATGTTAGTTAAAATATCATGTAACGTGTGCTTATTTGTAAAGACTTCGATTCTGCCATGAAAACAGTTTTCGAAATCTTTTCTACCGGTATCTATTGTACGCTCCATAGTCTGCAACTCTTGTTCTAAACTTTTCTTTGTCAGATGGCTGCAAGTGGATAAAAAGAGGTAACACGCTGTATACGTTCGCGTCTCTGCTTCAAGTTTCACTGCAAAAGAGAACCGCGAAGCGGATGACGCGATAGGCGACAACAGCATTCTCGAATCATGGCGATCGTCCAAAAGTTCGCTGCGAGTAGTGACTCGCTTGAAAACCGTGTCCGATCGCACCTTGGCCTTGCCCGATATCGTGCGAGCGAGCGGCGTGCTCGTAACGCGTCCAATTATCGCGTGATACCGACGATACGATAATAAGGATAATAATTGGCGGTGGATCGAACAGGTAACAAGAAGATCGCGATCAAAGTGCAAAAGCTGACGGTCGAGTCGCAGCCGTTGATCGTCGAGGAGTACAAGGTTCTGCGAGATTTAGCGTCCCACCCGAACCTGCCGGACTTTTACGGGATTTATCGGAGGAGGTCCGGCAAGAAGACCGAGTACGATCAAATATGGTTCGTCATGGAGGTAAGAGAGCTCCGCGCGACACAATCGAGAGAAAGAACCTCTCTCACTCTCCCTCTCTCTCTCTCTCTCTCACTCTCCCTCTCTTTCTCTCTCTGTACATACGTTGCTCAGGAACGAACGATTCGCGCGGCGGTGCGGCCGACACGGGGGTACATCATTATTGTCACGATCGCCATCCCGGTTATTTATATCGCAAGCGATATCGCGTCGGGACGCCAATCGACGTCGAAGTATATCCGTAGCGGCGCTCCTTTAACATCATAATTCTCCGGGGGGAGGGAAAAAAAACGAAAAGCTCTGTGATCGGGAACAGACACGGAACACGCAGGGTGAG